CCTCTGTAAGTTGATAACTTGGCTCTGTCCAGGACTGGGGAAACATAACAGAGCACTTCTCTTCATAGATTTTGATACACTACAACTCATTGTCACGTTTCAGAGACGAGTGAGCTTCTCCTGGCTCATGCATTTGTCCTGACTGTACACTCGGTCGTTCAGTAATCACCCACCCAGTACTTAAGGTTTAAGATTACCCTCTGTCACTACCAGATTTTCTCACTTGCTGTGGTAGTGTTTAGCTCCTTGTGCTCTGTAGTTTGACCTTGTGAGAAAATTTTGTATTGCTTTGGATTTACACAGGTCTATTTTGTGCAGACATTTCCAGCTGTGGATCTGAGAAACCTGTTAGGAAAAAGAAACCCATGGAGTTGAAGAAACCCAAAAAAGGAAAGTTGTTTTAAGAATTTGCTATTCATATGCCCTAATCTTCATTCTTTATTTCCTGTGAAAAGTCTTGTGTGCAAAATAGTTCCATTGAACTTTAATTCTGGTTGTCTAGGTTTGAGTTATGACAGAACGATGTGGTCTCAAACACGGATTCCTCAGACACCAGCCATGGAGTGCTTCTCGGAAAACACAACCAAGTACAGTGGCGCCAACAGGAAGAAATTATACATCATGTAGCTCAAATAGAAGTGCACAATCTAAATCAGCTTAATCATACACCAGAAGTCTTCGCTGAGAAGTTGGAAGAATGCTGAAGTTTTCTAGTGTACGCATGGGTTTAGACAAATCTGCTGCACCTATTCTTTAGATCAGGCAAAGTTTCCTTGATTATTCAGTAGAATTTGGACTTCTATGTGAGCTGCATAGCTGCATTTGAACTTAACCAAACAAAAAAAATTACTCTCTCTATGCTCACTTACAGCACCAGCTACAGGTTGAAGTTCTGCAACTGCAACTTATAGAAATCTGCACCAAAAATACAGTGCCGGGTGGCTCTGGTCCAATTTAACCCCTGAGTACAGCTCTATAAATGATACAGATATTATGTTATTTGTGTTACAATGTAGGACGTAGCAGAAAAATGTTATTAGAAAAATACTCAAGTACAGACAAATGAAAATTCTACTTATGTACAATAATGAAGTATTTGCAGTTCATAACTTCTAAATTTGAAAGACACTGTCTGGATTACGTGCCTTTTTTGTAATTTAATGCAAAAACATGCTTAGGAGGTATATATATATATATATATATATAATTAGCTTTATTCTATGACATTATACACTTTAATGTAAAAATCCTCTCAGGACTGGAACATCCACTGCCTGAGAGCCAAAATGTAACTCCAGCTAAATTAGAAAACCAATTTTATGCTATTTATCTGTATACCAACATATCTGAACTATATTCATTTTTAAAGTTATGTTTCACAATAAGCCTATGTGCCTAGACATTCAGAAAGCCTATGTAGTGGTAGGGGCTTCAGGTTGTCAGGTTTTGCAAAGAGACCACTGAGTGGTGCTCCATCCCTGCATTATTTGGGCTGACCTCATGGCTGCAAAAGTCACAAGATCATGATGAATAGGTTAAAGTTGAGCCAGGTGCTCCAGCGCCTCCCCCTCGCAGCGCATGCAGTGGTAGCCCATGGAAGCAGTGATATCGAAGCTGCCCTGGCTGAGGTAAAAGTCCATCGATGGTTTGTTCCAGTCCAGGACGGTGAAGTTGAGCTGGTGGCAACCAGCAGCCAGAGCCAGCTACAGGAGAGCAAAAACAAGAAGGAAGACAGGAATGACCGCTGTAGATGTAGCATGGAAGCTGTTTCTGCATGCTGCCTCTGAGACACTGTTCAGCATATTTTCCTGCAAATATTGAAAACAGGAAAATGCTCAAGGTTTACCTTCTCCATTATTCACGTTTCACTCACCTGTGCCACCTTGCTCATTAGTGCTTTACCGACACCTTTCCCTGAAAGACAGATCACGTGCATTACTTGAGATTTCCTGCAAATATAAGGACACAGTGATGATGAGACATCTTCTCAGAGGCTGTACTGTACCTCTGAACTCAGGCATCACATACAGGTCCTCCATATAAATGGCTCTGCCTGACCAGGAGCTGTAGGAATAGAAGTAAAGTGCATAGCCGATCTTTGTGTGCCCTGAAAGAAGAAAAATATCAGTCTGAGCTAGCTTACAGTTTACAGTTTCAGTATTCATGAAATTTGTATATTTGTTTTGTCGTTCCTTCCCACTGCGTGAATGACTCTGAATATTTAGCACAATGATTACTAATGACATAATGCTTTACTTTACACTGTAAACACATAACTATTCTTTTACATCAGTGAAAAAATTATACGATTTGTGGTGCTGCTCACAGTTAATGTGCAGCAAACTTTATAAATGAAACCTCACATTTCTCAGTGGTGAGGCTGGTTAGGTCATTTTAACCACTATTACTTTTTTGGTTTCTTGGAGGCAGCAGAACATCTGGAGTCATGTTGCTGGTGCCCAGGGACACTATGCAATATATTCAGTTTTAGAAGTTATATTCATTGTTAACTGTAGCCTGGCTCAGTGTTAATGCTGTCTTATTTTAATAAAAAACACTGTCATATGCAAAACCAGCGTGGCACTAAGGGTGGAAAGAGATCATTTTCAGGCTGGCACATGCCATCCCTCTAGATCCGCCCCTGCTAGTGACTTGATGAATCTGATGATTCTGAGTCCAGAACAATTTAGCTGCTAACTTCTCTGCTGATTGGTTCTGGACAGTTCGCGGATTTATTGAGTTTTTCTAGCAGCTGATGAGAGCGGAGCACAACATTAATGAGGCCCAGGACATAAGTAGCTACTTCTCAGTATAGCCTCTGATATTTGAAGTCAGCAGATAGTGGACAGCAGTGACTGTGTGGAAAAACACCTGTGTCATGGGAGGAAAAAGCACAGCCGGGCAGCAGAGAGTAAGTAAGCAAATAAGAAGTGTTTATGGAGGTAGACTAATGTACAATAGAAAGTACTTTGGCAATAAAACTTACTTGCAAAAAACTAAAAAGGAGGCTTACAACACTTTTGTACCCTGTTTAGGTTTTATAATGGTTTATTAAGGTTTACAGAATAATACATTTTCTTGCAAGAACATGAGCATAAAAAAAACAAGAGAAAGGTGACTGTTTCCTATGTTTCTTATTGTCTTTCCCCGACAAGCAACAAAGACTTTGTGCTCACTCTGACCTACAGGCATAGTTAGTATCAGTGTAGTGAAAACAGTGTGTAAAAACTGAGTGTAACATGATCACCTTCTTTGGTTTTGTGCTGTTCTGGCACCTCAGCGATGATCCCATGAAACAACGGGTTATTGGAAAAGCCATCTTGCTCCAAGTCTGAAAAGAAATTACAGACATAAACATCCATCCATCTATTCTCTTTCACTTATCCTTGGATGGAGCCTATCCCTGCTACCATAGACAAATAAAGTTGTTGCTTTTTTTACCCTAATTTCAAGGTCACACATTACAGACTGTTTGTAAACAGGTGTTTTGGACAGAAGAAAGAGGCCAAGGACACTTGGTGGTGGAATGAAGAATTGCAAGAAAGTGTTGAAAGAGGCTAGAAAAAAAATATTAGAAGAGAGTGTGTTGGGAAGATGGAAGGAACAGTTTGAGGAAATGATGAATGAAGAAAATGAGAGAGGACAGGTGGTGAAATAAGAAGTGTAAAGAGGAAGCGAGGGCAGCTATGCAGACGATGAAAAGTGGGAATGTGGTTGGTTCAGAATACATGTACTATTTTCAAAAAGGAGAGAAGTAATGTTTTTAGTGTTATTATATGCTTCTTTGGTACTAGCCTGATGTGGCTTTGATGTCAGTGTTTCTTGAGTCTCTGGGTGTCTATGAGAACGAGAGCAAACTGCTCTTAAAATGATGCTGTCTTTTTATTATAAATATTTTCCTATTTTGCTGTAATTATTATCCTACATCTGGCCTTTGGCATATGTTCTCGATACAATTGGAAAAAGAATAAAACTAAGACTGAAAATAATAAATAACCAACAAAAACTAAACATTTTCAAAAAGTAAAAACTAAAGTGAAATATGAAACTCCACCCCGGAAACTAAACTGAACTAAAAACAAAAAGTCAAAATTGAAAGAAATACTGTATATAAAATAAAATAAAAACCCCAAAAAAACTACAGTAACTTGGCTCTGAACCTCTTTTGGGATATCACCTTGGATTTAATATGTTTATGAAGAGTATAAAATAATACATTTACAGTTAAGGCAAAAACCTGAGACATCACTACAAACACTACCTTTCTGGGTCACTTTCACATACTCTGCCAGTTCCTGGAGAAAATCATAAATAGCATCAGCTGCCATCATTTATCAGGACATGCTAACATCACTGTTCCTCAGCCGACAGTAAAAACAGTTTATTAACCTGTTTGCACTGAAACTGTAGAGCACCGCGAGCACAGTTCATCCGATAATATCTCACTAATCTAATGATAACAGCAACATTGTGGTTTTGAAAAATTGCATGAATCGCACACACAGCTGGACTGCATGAGCGTCCACATGTGTGCTCACCATGATCATTATCGAAATTATTGATACTTCAGTTTGCTTTGCTCCTCTGAGTCCAGTGTGTTACTTCAGTTTCAACAAACAGCAGACATGTCCTGGAACCACTTTGCCCTGCTCCTCCTGCTCTGCAGCTGGACACACTCATGTAGGCTGGAGTGTGTGCCACTGAAAAATCTGATATCGATCCAACACCACGCAAATACAGGACCAGACAGAGAGAAGTGTGTCATGACTGATAAAGCGAATGCATCATCAGAACGCTTTATATAACCTACTTCCATACTACTCTCAGCAGTGTCCCTGAGTGAATTTTAAACTGGCTCTGAAAGAATGGAAGAGAAGATCAGAAATATAAAGGGATATTTTAACAAAGGGCATTCACTTGGGGCGTCATGTTATGGAAAATGAATAAATACTGAACCTAAAAAAGAATATCTCACTGCTGAGAGTAAACCTGGAACACAAAATAAGGTCAGTTCATTCAGCTGTACAATCTCATTTTTTCAGAAAATCAAATATTATATTTCCCTCTGGTTTTCTTTCTGAAAAGTTTTTTAGCTAATAAATCTAATTAAGCTTCTAAACATTACACGTTTTCATCGATTTTTTTCAACAATGCATTTTCTTTTTATTTCCATTTTACATATGATCGAAGACTTTTGAAAATAATAAAAAGGGTAAATTTGCAGGTTCGTTAGAACAAACTGTTAAGTTGAGTGAATGTCCCACTCTGCATCTGTTGAAAAAACAAACAAACTATAAAGTGCTAAATAATAAATGTGCTATAGTAAGATAACTGTAATTCCAGAAGCCAAAGTGGTCGTGATGAAGAGTTATATTAACCAGGCTTCAGTGTTTTTTATTACTGATATGAATATAATTTGTTTCCTCTCTGACTCCAGAAGAGAAAGAAGTTTATTTGAAATGTTAGACATATGTTGAATACAAAAACAAATCAAAAGATCCAGGAGGAAATGTAGCTTCACATATAAGTCAAACAGAATAAATTCACTGATGTGTGCTGGTCAATATTCATCTGATGTGTTGCCTTGTTTTTGTTACCTTAATACACATCTGTTGAACTCATCCACAAACAAATGTTTGAAATTTCGCTGATTCTTTGGTATCCATCCAAAATTCAACAGTCCAGTCAAGACTGGCAGCCCAAAGTCCAGCTTGTTATTAACTCCTTTCAGTCTAAGGAACTGGAGACCAAAGGTAGTGACCGCTGTCACAGTTCCAGGTGATCCAGAGGTCATTATAATTCAGAGAAACTGGTCAAGCAAATAACCTGTTATATCAGTTAATACAAATACACAGTACACAGCAGTA